AGTCCGCCTCGCCGGGGGGGTGGTCACTGGGGAGGGCAGCCCCGTGTCCGCACCGTCCTCCCCGCTTCCCTGCCGCTCGCCTGGGGCGCGTCCCTTGCGCGCCGCCGGCCGCCATGTTGTACATAGTAACAGTTGCTAGGTACGGGCTGGCTGCGCTGCTCCGTCTGCGCTGCGAAGGGAGGCTTTTGGTGTGCGATTTTAAGGTAAATTCCTGACTCCGGGGGGTGAAAGTTGCCTTCTCGGCGGCCGCGAAGCAGGGCACGGCGCTGCGGCTTCGGGTTTGGCTGCGCGGGGCTGCCCGTGCAACCGAGGGCTCCGCGTTCCCCCAGAGCGGCTCCGGGCACTCGCGGGGGCTCCCTAACGTTCGTGGAAGTACCGAAACGGGAGAAAATGCGGCAGTTTTGTGATGAGTGCCTCTCTTGCTTTTCACTCCTGTCTACTGTATTCGTCTGTCTCTCCATGCACGTTGTTTCTTTTCCTGTACTGAAACTGCAGATTCTTGGGGCAGAATGCTATCTTTCTGCAGTACCTAATTAAGACCAGTTATTATTTAAGTGATACTGTATTGTAAACGTTTTTGTGCAGCTACAAATGAATATGTGTAATTATGCTGGACATTAGAACACGGTTATTTTAATTGGGTTTATATCCATACATAGTTGTTATCACATAATCATAAAATCATAGAATCACTTTGGTTGGAAAAGACCTTTGAGATCATAGAGTCCAACCTTTAACCTAACCCTGCCATCCCACCACTAAACCATGTCCCTAAGCACCTCATCTATCCTTCTTCTAAATACCTCCAGGGATAGGGACTCTACCCCCTCCCTGGGCAGCCCATTCCAGAGCCTGACAGCCCTTTCAGTGAAGAAGTTTTTCCTAATGTCTAGCCTAAACCTGCCCTGGCGCAGCTTCAAACCAATAGCTCAGCTGCCCTTATCGTACTTGTTAAAAATAACTGATCGCTTTATGCACTATATGACGTGGGGAAACAAAGAATTTCTGCTCGGTAGAGCTTGGAATCAAAACAGAAAAAGATGCAGATAAGCAGATCAAAGGTATGGGGAGGCAGGAAGTGTCCAGTTTGAACACCTCACTTCATCAGCCCGCAGGCTTATGGAAAAGATTCAGATTAGTACAGTAATATAATCAGAGGCCCAGAAAATGCAGTTAGTGAGGAAAGGCAAACAATTGGATTTATTTTGGCTACAGAGAAGGCAAAGGTTATCATTTCATTAGATACATTTGAGTTGGTTGACATCTTCCCTCTGAAAAAACAGAGAGGGCCCTGCACCATCTTGTCCTACATCCCCACCACACTTGCTTAAAATAGGTACTACCATATTGAGTTTAAAGAAAAACAGAGAATGTGGTAGGCAAAAATTGGCAATTTTTCTTTAAGCCATCTTTCTGACTTGTTCTGCCTTGCAGAAGCAATAGAGTTGTACATATCCTTTTTTTGGAAACATATCTTATATGTAACCATGCTTTTGTCAGTAAACCTCTGTCAAGAACAGTTTGTGTGATCAGGTCTTCAAATGTGGAATTTTTCTTTTGTGGCAATAGGTCTGCTTGCATAACAGAGTAGTACTTCGGAGCATGAGCAGGGTTATTCCTTAAATTAGCATCACTTCAAAATAAAACCAAGTGCCTACAGAATCACTACATTTTTTCCTTTTAATATTTAGTTATGGCTGATGAGTCGGTACCATTTTTTCTGGACCAAGGAACCACTAAAACATATCAAATACCTATTGGTCATCTGGACTACAAGTTCATTGAAAAATGCACGGATGTTAAACACCTGGAAAAGATTCTCAGGGTATTAAGGTAAACATATTTTCTTAACTTCATTACTAATTATATTCCTGTTCTGTAAAGTTCAAAGGAACCTGTACCTAAATACTCTATTTGTTTTGAACCTCTTTGTGACTTTCTAATTTAAAAATTAAAATACAGAGTTAATCATGTCAAAAGTGTCCAAATGATAGCACTAGAATTCCAAGTCCTGTTTTAACCATCCAAAAGGTCTGAGTAACTCGATGCCAGGTTTTTCTCAAATGCTGCTGCTGGATTTTGGTTCTATCATAGAATCATAGAATGTTTAGGGTTGGAAGGGACCACTAGTGGTCATCTAGTCCAACCCCCCTGCAGTGAGCAGGGACACTGCTAACTAGATCAGATTGCTCAGAGCCCCATCCAACCTGGCCTTGAATGTTCCCAGGGATGGGGCCTCTACTACCTCTCTGGGCAACCTGTTCCAGTGTTTTACCACCCTCATTGTAAAAAATTTCTTCCTTACCTCTAGCCTGAACCTACCCTGTTCTAGTTTAAAACCATTCCCCCCTCCTCCAATGTGGATAGGTCAACACCTCCCCCACCTATCGTCTTCTCCTCCAACTCTAGAGCCTCAAACCTGTTACTCAGAGGCACCTGGGGGGAAGCGGTGGGCACAGAAGGGGTTCTCCTCCTGCCCCGACTACACACCAGTTTCCATTCACTACTCTGTTTCCATTCACTACTGAAGCCATCTTGCTTGGTTGTGGTAATTTCAGATGCTATGCCTGTTTAATTTTTGCTGAACATGACAAGAGCATCTTTTATGAGCACTGTGATGATAATTTTGAACTGTGTATGTGTGTCCATTGGAAAGTGGTTGAAGGTTAACTCACTGGAATTTTCTGATCAAAATGTTATTAGGCGATAGTAGAATTCAGTTGTAACAGGAAAATAGTCCTCTGCAGTCACTGTGGTGACTACACATGCAGAGAAATACGGAGGATGCAGTGCAGTTTAATTCTTTTCTGTAACTTTTATATCTTTGCATTTTAAAGGTCTGGTGAAGAGGGATGTTACCCTGATCTTACATTGTTTTGTGAAAAGCGGATTGAGCATTTAGATCCAGGGAGCAGAGCTCTCAGAAAAGATAAGCCTGCAGCCACAGCTTCTGATTTCACAGCTGAAGAATGGAAAACAATTAGTGATGAACTGATGGTATAGTATAACTCTGATTTATAATGGTCAGTAATGTAATCACTTTGATGTATCAGTCTTCCTCTTGTGCATAAGTCAAATGTAATTATTTGATTAAATGAGGAAATTATCAAAGGATTATGTTCAGGGTTTTTTATTATTTTATCGAATTCATGTCACCGAATCTTTAATGCCCATTTTAACTCTACAGATTTTTTGTAATTATTTTTTAATTCAAAAAAGCAGAATTGCTTTTTGTCTTAATTGCTTTTCCCCATTAAGAGCAGTGCATTGTAAGGATAGTTGTTAGGGTCATTGTAGACTATGAGGTATATCTGCTCTACTGCTTTAAGGTACAGATATTTGTTTATTTTCAGAGCTGGGTGACAGAAATGAATGAAGATAATAAGAAACCACAGTTCCTGAGAACAGACACTCTGCACGAAAGACAAGATAACTTGCCTCCTATTCGTTGTTCCAGCAGCTATCTTCCTGCTAATCAGGTATCTCCAGTTTTCTAATGTCTGTTAATTATACGTCTTTCTGAAATAGGGAAATTTTATATGTAAAAACTTCTAATCATTGAGCCTTTCTTCCTAGGTTTATTTTGTTAACCAGAAAATAATAAACCTTTAAGTTTCCTTGCAAGAGACCAATGCTTAAACAAAAATGCCTCCTTAATGCTAGCGCATGTCTTGTAATAATGTTTTAATTCCAATCAAGGGTTCAGTTCGGGAGCAAATGTCCTTAAACACACTTTTCTGTTCTTTGATTCACATTTCAAAGTGGTGTTTAAGCATATGAACTAGGTTCTTTTCTCCTTGCAGTTTCATCTGAGCTTTCTGTAGCTGCCAGTTACATGAGACCAGACAGGAGCTAGTCCAAAACAGATACCCTGAAACACATACAGTGTGAATGTTGGACCCTCTGCACCAACTGTTTCACTCTGTAGCCACTTCTATATTGGGTTGCACTGTTGTATATGTAGCCTTTGATTCCCCTTATTCTATACCATGAGTGCTATTCCAGCTTTAGCCATAAAGCACACTTAACAAATCTTCAAATCTACAGAATAAACATTTAAATTTTTTCCTAGGTATTAGTTTCCTCATTTTTTTTTCCCCATTTATTTATCTGCCTGCAATCTGTTTTGTCTGTGACCGGATTTCCTTACTAATACTGTATGCAGTGCTGTTGGAGGGGTTGGCAGAAAAGTAGGTGTGGGGTGGGATTTTTTGAATTGTCAGATGTTATCATGGATGGTTTCAGTCTGATTCCCACTATTTTCTTTGGAATTCAGTGACATTGTTACAACAAATTCACTGAAGGATTTTTCTTTTTGGAAGTGAGAAATGTTATGAAAGGATCCTTACAGGTCATGTGGTATTTCTTATTAATTTATAATTTGACAAATTTTATTGGAATAATTATGTATTAGTAAATGCCTGATTTATGTTCCTACGTTGTCAAAACTACTCCTTATTGTCAGCTGGTGCTTAGACATCAGATCAAGACATTTGGGATAACTAGGCATTCTCCCTTATGCGGTATTCAAAGAGGCTGGGCATTCCAGTGTAATTCTTTATAGTGGTTAGTATTGAGACTAAGGTGTGCTTTTGGTTTGGGTTTGGTTTTGTTTTCATTAGTCTGTCCTCTTTTTACATTTTGCAATGTATGTTCCTCCTGACTATCCTATTTTGCTGAGATGAAGAGTGCCACTGTAGCTTTACTTTTGATTTAAGTCCTGTATAGCTGTTTCCTAGAACATAAAATGGTAAGTAAAATATCATGTCAACTCAGTGAATCCAGATTAGAATATAAGCATAAAATGGTGGAAAATGGCTTGAAATCTAGGATATACAGTTTTACTAAAGAGGATGTGTTCTCCATTCAAAGATGAAATATGTACTCAGATATTTTTTTTTCTCTTGCTTTAGACCATGCAACAGTCTTCAGGTCAAGTTTTTATCACTTTTGTTCTCCA